TTACCAAAAATTTAATCAGCTCTTTATATGAATGCAGATATCTTAAATACTTGAAAGGGAAGTATTTGGAAGTAAATACTTGATAGGGAAATACCTGATATAAGAACTATCACGCATGAAAAAATTCTCACGCGTAGATACACAGACAGACATCACTGTAAAGTAAAAATAGTAAAAACATGTTGTGTTTTCCTTGTGATGGTTCCTGACGCGTGCTTTTTCTTTCGAAACTCACAATTGAATTTTTGCACCGAAAACATTACTTCCCTTCCCTTTGTATATAGGTTGGTGGCAGGTAAAAAGAAAATATACAATGAATCCATTAATTTGATTTTATTATTTTTAATTAATCTATTAATTTAATTTATTTTAATAAATTTCATAAACGCAGCTAGTAATGAAAAATAAAGGCATGAAGAGCGGCGTCCACAGACAGGGCTGAATAGCGAAAAAAAAAAAAAAAAAAAAAAAAAAAAAATGGTCTTGACGTTAAACAGACCTTGAGCTAGACGCGAAGCGCCCCTTGAGTTGAATGTCTTCTTCCTCTAAACCTGAATCACCAACTTTTCTCTCTTGGCGAGGGAGGGAACGCGCTACCAATTTTGGCGCGTTTATCGCACACGCTGGCTGAATGTCTGCTGTTTTTTTTTTAAAGATTTATTTTATAGACGCGCGGCATTCAGCGCACATAAACTTTTCGGATAATTTAATTAATTCTCGAATAGTATATAGACGTTTTCACTTAAATAAAAATTTCGCGTATATTTTGTAAACATATTCAAAATAACTTATTCTTTAGATGTTTCAGTTTCGTTAGCAGACTAAAATAAATAAGATATGAATAAAAACTTTCAATAGTGTCAAATGGGGAAATAGTTAAAGCGTAGTAGAGTGTGCAAATAAATTTATCTTAATGACATTTTAACAAAAATTTCCATAAAAACACTGTAAATTCATACTAAAAAAATAACTTAAGAATATGTTGTCATTTTAGTCTGAGGTATATGGAAATAATTGTGCAAGACTCTGAAGAAACACTTTCTTTTAAATGTGTGAAATATTTCATAACATATATGGAAGAAGAAAGTACAGCATTCTGTGTTTTGGATGACTTTCACCAAATGTAATATAAATACGAACTAGAAACCGTAATAAAAAGTCCTTCCTCTCCAATCAGATCACCTTTGTGTTGCATTGTATTTGTAATACTTCTAAAAATCCAATTTTTACCTAAATTAAAAAACAGTTATTCCATAAAAGATAATAAATTTGAACGTATATAGAATGAATTTTGTAATTTGAGTTATGTTACAAAATAATTCATAGTTAGTTTATATATTTTATACTAATAATTTAGATAAAACCTGTCCAATTTAAGAATGTGTGTTAACCACATTCTTAAATTGTAAAAGGACGACTTAACCACATGTAATTCATTTCAAAGCATAAAAGAAAGCTTATTTTTTATTTTACACAGCAACAGCATTTTCATGCAGTCAAGTTTTTTTAATTGCTAGTTATTATACATAATACTTAATTTTTAACACATTCTTATTAGAAAGCATAACTAAGAAACTTCTTTTTAAAGCCCCACAGTAATTGCAAAGAATGTCGTTAAATTTACAAAAGTATTGAAGATATATTGAACAGCATTATAACAAGAAACTACTGTACAAAATATGTAAATTTAACATATAATTTCTTTTTTAGTATTTGCATAGTTTCCTCCAAATGAACCTTAATGGGAAGTTATCTTGCAAAAATTTAAAAGTATTAAAATGGCCTCTATTTAAGATGTAACTGCATTTATAATTATTTTGTAATTGTGAATAGATTATATTATTGCAATTAGATTATGCACTTACAACATAATTGCATAAAGTAATGAAATTAAGAGTTCACAGATACAATGTAATATAATTACAATGCAATTATCTAAATTGTAATTATAATCACTTATTTAATACCACAATATTATTACAATCACAATGTAATTTAAATTGGGTACTATATTTGTATACCCTCCACTCAAAAGGAGGTACTGATAAGCCTGGAAGTTATTATCAACAAAAAGCCTGTTCAGGACAGTTTGATGACAATTTCCACCGGGCGAAAAGTACATTCTTAAGCCCAGGCAAATCATGACAATAAAAATCATTTAGTCTCATGATTCACTATATTTCAAACCCTAAATTTGAATTCTGCACCAAATTATTTACCTATATTTTAATATACTTTATGAATTATTAGAAGCGATATGGCAAATATCTTCTAAAAATAACTGTAAAATATTTGTATCCATTAATTGATTCAGATACACACTTTTATTATTTAAGTATATCAAAATAACAGTTTCATGTTCCTGAAATACAAAAGTTATGAAAAAAGTTAAAGTAATATTCTTAGAAGCATATGATATTAGTCACCAGCTGCAAAACAGTTAATTTTTTGCCCTAAATACAAGTTTATTACACAGTAGTCAATACGTGTAACTTAATAACATGGTATATAAAAAATTAATGATAATAAGTTTATCAGAAATGAATTAATTCTGCAAATAAACTTTCTGCATTTGAAAATTTTCTACACCTGAGGGGAGGGAGAGATCTAGTAAAATTAGATTTATTATAACTTCAGTTGGACCAAATACCTTCTCTCTCTCTATATATATGCATCACTAAAGAAATAAATAAAATTATCATGCTTAAAAAACAGATATACCATACCAGTTTTTTTTTCCCTTGTTACCCTTTACATTGAGAAATAACAAACAGTACAACGCTGAAAAATACTATCCTTTGAAATTTTTTATTTAAATGAAGAAACACACACCATCTTTTTATTTAAGCATTACACTTCAAAAACAGATACACATACCAATTTATTTTCACTAGCCTTTATACTAATAACATGCCATATAAAAATGAAAAGAATTATCCTTGAAATTTAGATAAAATGAAGTAACACAATGGAAAAATTTATGCACACGGACATCTTTTTTCTATTGCATGTTGTCTGACATGATCCACAAGTGCCTAAAAATGTACCCAAGGAAACACATTTCAATATTAACAAAAAATTGTTTACAGATTAAAATTCATTTCATTTCATACCAGTATTATAAAGATCATGCATGAAACAAATCTGCTTTCCCATACTTTTAAGTAAAACTGAACTGAAATTTTATACTGGAAAATATGCTATATTTCTATATATTAGAAACAAGAAAATAATACCATAATAATATACTCATAGCCTAGCAGAAAGTAACATATATAACATCAAACACAGAAATTTATATACTCGTAGCCTAGGAAAAAGTAATACATATTACATAATAAAACACATAAATTATTTAATATAAAACATACATACCTTCTAAAATTATTTTACTTTTTGTTTCTTATTGGCCGATGCTGATGAATATGAAACGTTATGGGCTCTTTTGTTGATAAGATGCTGTGTAAGGCCTTTGCATCTAGTAATAAAAAAATTATCAATAATTACTTTCTTAAGATTACAGCATTCTGGCATGGCCACATGCGTACATTTATCAATTATTCTTTCAACTAATTCTTTTGTGATGGCTGATTGTAAACGAAGGAGTACATCTTTACATTTTTGAAATTCTCGTTCAGCTTCCCTACATATTTCGATACATTCCTGAAGAGATGACCTTCAGTCCACCTTTATTGCTATGTTTTGTAAGAATTGTGCGATGCTCGGGTATGTCAGGTTCCAGCATGTCCTCTGAAATGGTCATAGCTGTTTTACAATTTTCACATATGCTTTTTTTTTTCAACAACTTATTATATATGGCTCCTGCGATGTAATGTATATCATTTTCTTCCACAGCTGGGGGCAAGCGACGTTTCACTGCCACTGCAGAAGAGGTAGATGGCACTACAGAATTGGAGATAGGATGCAAGACCTCCTTTCTGATAGCAACCTCTAATTCAGAAGCATCAAAGAGGCTGTGGTCACTTTCAGAACAATAATTTGGATTATTGATATCTGAAATGAACTGTGATAGGCACACTAATTTCAGTGCTCTCTTGGCTTGCAAAGCAGTAGGCTTTGCACCCAACTTTCGTCTAATCTGTGAAAAGGCATTTTCCAGCGCATCTTGTGTCAACCTGCCTGGTAAGAAAAATGTAAACCCCTCGGAAAATAATTCTTTTGAGAGTTTCACAACACTCAATGTGCTCATAATAATGCCAGTTTGAAATGGCTTCCATGCTTTCCCAAACTGAACAGTTTCAGTCACATGAATGAATTTCAATAAAATATTAAATTTCTCATCTTGATTTTTGATAGTGATGCCTTTTTTTGGATGCCTTGTAGTCATAATTGTAAACCATTCTGCTACAAGTCTCAGCCACCATGCAGAAGTTAATGCTTCTTTTGCAACTTGGTGTAAAAAATACCTGCTTTTTCAATAGCAGCAGCTGTTTTTACAGAAAACAATTGCACAGCAGATGCCCCATTCATCGAGGAAAAGTGTGTTGGGAAGAGATGAACTCTGTTCAAGTGATGTAGAGATCTCAGGGCAGCATCTGATTCTATCTCACTTGACCAGAGTCGTTTCACATACACTGAAGATACTATCCTCGATGGCAAGGCATGCTGGCTGGCGAAATTCCTCTGGTAATATTATAATACTTGAAAGAAATGTATTTCTCATATTTTTAATGAGATGTGGTACATCTGCAATACTGTGAATGAAAACATCAGGTCCTCCAATGTTGTAATTTGTCTTCCTATCTCTCCTAGAGACAGACACATCCAATGACGACCACATTGCTCTGTTATTGCTTCCCATATCTGAAACAGAGGCTCTTACAGTTAAACCTATTTCTGTAGCTGCTACTACAGTTCTATGAATTAGATCTTTCATGTCAGAACCTGATGTTGAAGGCCCTGTTAATTCATTGGCAACAATCTGTTTCCATGATGTTTTAAGGCCTCTAAGCATTACAATAGTGTAATGCTTAGCAGGTTTTCCTAACGTAACATTTCCAATGAATGACTTAGACGATGTATCAAAATCTTGATATGAAGCTATTTCCATTTCGTCAACTAAAAGGCAGCAGTTCCTATCAAGAGCATCCAATGAATGAACTTTTGTCTTGAGGAAAAAAAAACAAATTTTCTAAAATGCCGAAATTAATTTTTATGTCCCTAATCCTCCTGTTCAAGGTACTGTACGATGGTGCTGGATATCCAGTACTTCTGAGGTAATTATATCCATGTTTGCTCAAAGCAAATCGCATCTTCAGTCCTTTTATAATGGACTTTTCTGACCAGTTCCTTTTTGACTGCACAGCAAGGGTTCCTACTTGCTCATCGGACAAAAATGATGTCAATTTTGCATCTTTTTCTTGAAGCTGTTGCTCAAGGAATTCTATTTTTTTTAACAACTCTTCATTTGAAGCAGGTAGAGTTTCCTAAATTCAAAAAGAAATAGTAAACATGTTATGCTGTGATTATTTTTTTAAACAATGGTTGGATGAATTAATATATTTGTAATAACAATGATTTTTTCAACAATTTTTTTTGGAAAATATTAAATAATTTACCACTTCAGTATTTGGCTTAGGACATCTTACTTCTCTTATCCTCTTGTCAGTTACAGATGGTGGTGGATTTGGAATGCTAAAGAGTGTTGGTACTGCAGTTTTTCTTAGTTTTTTAACTATCTTTGCATAGTGACTCAAATTGAGATTCCTCAAAATGATCCTTGTAATATTTACATAAAGTAATAAAAAAAAAATTTTGCTATATTACAAAATAAATAAAAGTACAAAAAAAACAAACCACACGATAAGAAATGTGAAGTAAAAGTTTGTTTCACACAGTTGAGGTTGTAGCCAAAGGTTCAGCAAGCATGAAACATGTAAGTAAGTATAGGTATCAATAAATTTAAATATGCATGTTGTCATCATTAAATTTATGCATGCACACATGTTATTTTGCATTCAAAAAACTGAAACAATAAATATATGGTACTTGCAATTATTGAAGTCAGATTATATATATTTTGTCTCATACTATTCAATTTATTCTATTGACTTCAGATGTCAATGTCAAAATTCTGGAAGTTATTTTAACCAAGAAACAGTAGTGGGCACCGTGCATAAAAAACTCATCTAACTTTTTAACAATAGTGATTATAAAATAAAGAAAAAAATTATATATCATTCCAACGATATTGCAACTATAGTATAATGTTACATATATCTTTAGCAAACATTCAGATTTTATCTTGACTTTCCAAATTATTGATTTGTTTTTTAATAAATTTCAATATGCTAATGATTTTCATGTTACATTAGTATAATTTCCACAATTAGCACAGGAAAACAAAATTTGCGCTTTATATTAGAAGAGAAATTTCTTTTCCACATTCAAAACATCCACATTGGCGATGTTTGGCGACGGGTACATTAACCCTAGACTAATTTAATTATAGCTATTATTACAGAAATTAGCAGATACTTAGGTTATTGTACACAAGAATTTCACTTTACTTACACATTATAAACATCAGAGAAGATATAAACTCTAAATCAAGGCGTAATTAACATTATACTTACTAAGCAAATTTCAGCGCCTTGGACCAGGTTTCCAATTGTCTCTTCGGCAATTATTTACCCATATTTTTCTTCTTTCTTCATTTTTAGGAAATTTTACCAATGTATGACCTTTCCGTGAATGATTTGAACAATTAATAGCTGCACATCCGCCCATTTTACACAAAAAAAACACAAAAAATTGTTGCACCGTAACTACACAGCCGCCATTTAATCTCCCACTTGGGATAGCGAATGCCTGATGATTCAGCCTGGTTATAGGGCTTAGTCCGTTTTTCAAAAAAGTCAATCTAGCCTGAGCAAATGGCCCAAGAGCGGCAGTGCAGGGAGAAAGTTATGCCACATACGCATGACGTCATGTGGGTGACAGCGTTAGTTCTTGGCGTTTGTTTACTTTCGTTGCATCAACAGTTTGATTTGATTTGTGTTGTTAATTTGCTATTATACCTAGGCGGAAGTGGCAAATTGTGCTATAGCGTTGTGTCAGAATTATACACGTTAATACGTTTTTTGGCGGAAAACACTCTTTACAACCAGATAAAATAACTATTTTTTTAATGAATTTATGTAGTTTTCATACATAACTGTGATGTAATTTTACATTTATTTTTCATTTTACTGCTATTTTACATTTAAATTGAAAAATTTCTCATTTTTAAATCATTTTTTATCATAATCTTCATTTTGTGTATGAGACTTACATCGTAGTGAGATATTTAAACTCAGTGTCATGTTTACCAATACTGAGTACCTGAATGATTAGTTAATAAATTCGCGTATCCAACTTCATTCACATGTTTTGGTTACTTTCTTTACATCCCAAACGTAATTCTATGTATTGAAGCAGCGTCTGGGTTAAGCTTTGCGAACTAAGTAAACTGATACATGCCTCACCGTGAGGAAAGAACAATTTCTCGACCACACTATGATGCAAACATCGAATGAGTGAGTGACATATTTCCTTCAGTGTTATTTAACTGATGCATACAGGTATGTGTGATGTAATTTAATTGATATATAACTTACACATGCTTGAACCTGAAGGAAAACAAATCTGTGTATAATGCTAGAATACAAATAGCGAAAGAGTAAGATATTCTGTTTAGTGTTATTTAACTGCTGCATATGTTTTAATTTTGATTCCATATAACTTGTTTTTAATTATAAGAGAAAGAAAAATAATTCAATATTGAACACATATTTCGAGTATAACAAAAGTATTTTAAGAAACAACCTGATAAAAATACATTAGTAATTAAAAAATATTTAATTTGTGTACAGGCTGAATTGAAATTAAGATGTGGTGGTGTATTTAATTATGGCAAAGCACACTAGGGCTATCTGCGTAATAGGTGTGATGCCTTCGTGGAGGACTTTCTCAGGGAAACTGGCTCGTATACACGTTACGCATGAGGAAAACCACGAAAACACCCATGCAGCCAGCCCGTTCGCGGGATTCGGACCGAACTACCAGTGTTCAGCGACTTTACCGCTCGGCCGCTGGTGGGCCGAAACTAAGATGTAGGGCAAGTTTATTATTATTATTGTGCGTATATGTGTAAGAAAATGTATTTTAATTGTTCCATTTTTAATGTATGGAAGGAAGAATAGGATGCCAATATCGAAGATTATTTACTATAGCAAATAATCACGTCAGGATAAATGTTATATAGAAATCTTGGAGTGTAAGGGATTATAAGAGTACTTTTAGATTATACTGAAAATATACGCACTTCTGCTAAAATCTGAAGTGAATCAGTATGAAGTGACTTTTCACTTTAAAAGAATGCGATAAGTATACTATTTAAAGTATAATGACGGATATTAAGAAATTTGTAGAATTTTATGGTATTTAAATATGAATTTGTTAAGTCAAATCTTTTTATATATATTTTTGCTTGAGATATGTAATTTAAACTGAAAATCACGATCATATATTTCTCATGGAATGTCAAAGTTCATTTGTATTAAAAAAAGTGCATGAGCAATGAAAATAAATAGAATAATACTTTTTGATTATGTTTTTACCATGGTCTTAGCAGTTATGCCATCATGTGTTCTGTTCAACAAGATTTATTTAGTGCAAACAATACTACGAAAAAAAAAATATTGAAAAATACCTTGTTTTACAATATTTATTTCCCTTAATTAACTTAAATATCGTTTTTTCATTTTCTAATGCTTTCCTTTACGAAAAGAATTTAATGTTTACAATTATTTTCAGCATTCGTACGAATTCTGTGCATAAAATAAACATTTTCTTTAACAAAATACTTAATCGGAAAGTATATACCCGGTATTTCCGGTGTACCACATATAAAATGATCATTTTGCTTTAGTTTACATTTTTTCCATTACCAAAATCATGTAGCAGACGCGTCGGCCGATGCGTCTTGTCTCCCGGGTGACGTCACTACCAGCAACCAATGGCACGCTTTTTCCGTTCCTGGCCTAACCTTAGTATATTAAAGAACCTTGATATTCCGGTCTTTTAACCCTAAAATGAGCTGTGTTCTATAATTTGGAAGAGGCTGTATGCTTTGATTTTAGACTGAACCATTAAAAAATTTAATAATGCTTACTCAATTTAAAATAATAGATAAAATTGCTACTCTTTTAACATAAAGTTCCGTGGTTTTTTTTAATTTTATTTGCAGTTTTTTTTATTTAATGCACGTTTATTTCTAATCATTTCTTTATTTGCATGCTAACTGAGAGAATTTTTATGCTGCTTCTAAGATAACTATAATAGCAGCTATTTAAATTTACTCAAAAAACAACTTTACATTGACATAGGTTTAAACATATATGACATATATGGCAACATTTCTGCTAACCTACGTTTGATTTTTTGCCTAATTGTAAATTTTACATTGTTATAATTCTCTTCCGATTCAATATAATAGATATTTTAAATAATTTTGTAATTTTATACTTATATCTATATTACAATTAAATAAATGTATATAAGATTGCTACCTTAATTTTGACAAAATAGCTTTGTTCAGAGTACCTAAAACAGTTATTTAATTTTTCAAAAGTGTGAGTAAAGGAAGCAGGTCTTTTTATGCCAATTACTTGATGTTTTATACTATTATATTTTATCTAGAATGCTAATCTAGCACAAAATCTAATCAATAATTAGTTACAAAGGATACAATAAGAATAACTTTAACAAGTACTTTACAAAATTAGTTTGTTAAATACTTGTTATTCTTGTTGGTACTATTTTGGTACTATTCATAATACGAAGAGGCCACCAGCGGCCGAGCGGTAAAGTCGCTGAACACTGGTAGTTCGTCCGAGGTTCTAATCCCGCGAACGGGCTGCTGGGGTGTTTTCGTGGTTTTCCCATGTGTAACGTGTATACGAGCCAGTTCCCTTAGAAACTCCACGAAGGCATCCCTCCCTTAGCAGATAGTAGTCTAGTGTGCTTTGCCATAATTAAATACACACATACACATAATACCGAAGATATTATCGATTATCTCATAGAAGTCAGATGCTTTCTGATTTCCTGTGGGGTAGGAGTATACCTTTTGCGGTACTTTTTGAAAATAATGTTTTCTATGGAGCGACTTTTTGTCTCTCGTTTCCCTTGACCATTAAATAATTTGGTTTTAGTTGTGGACACAATTGATTTCTTCTCAATCTCTATTTAAAACCTCTTTAATAATATCAAAATTTAAAACAGTTACATCTTCTAAAACAAATCCTCTATTTAAAAAGCGGTTTCTCAGTAATTTGAGGCAGAGCGCGAAATGAGACCTCTGATTAAAACAAACTGCACATTTTGAAAAGAACCACTTAGTCCAGTTTAGAGTCATAGCAGAGTTTTCAATCTATATTGCATTTCGTCGAAACTTAGAACGCATATTTTTTCTACAGAATACAAATATTCGCCTCTTGTCCTTCTTTAGAGTAAGAACATTACTTTGAATTCTTGGACTACACTAAAATTTAGAAAACACTAAAAAATAAAATAAACACCTATTTCTTTAATTTGATAATACTAGGTAAAGATATTCCAATTTTTTTCTTTCCAAAAAACCATAGCTTAAGATGACAGAGCTCTTATGACGATGCAACGTGAAATATTTTCACTAGTACACCTGATTTTTTTCTTCTTTTCAGTAATGCATTAATCTGCGTCTTTTTAAAAATAGACTTTAGACATTTTTCCAAATTCTCCGATTTGTGCCCCCCCCCCCAAATTTCGCTATTTGAGATTTTAATTTCTGATACCAATTTCTATCTAGATGTCGTCCACCTTCTTGGTCGCTGAAAAAACATTCTAAAATTGTTCTTTTCTCTATTTTTTCAATACTTTATACAATTTTCTAAGGATATTATTTTGTTCTTCAAATTATCAATGCATTCTTGTCTATCCTTAAACATTCAAGATGATCTACATTTTCATTTGTGAGTTTTATTTCAAAATCATTATTAAAATTTGATTCATTATTGTCATCATCAATTCGATTTATTATTGTCATCATAATTTACTTTCGGCACAGCATTCCATTCCAACAGTTTCTTTTCGTGGCTATCCAAACAAGCGATTTTTCATATCATCTTCATATCATCTTCATAAAAACTGCATAGAAAATGTTCGCTGCAGATTTTTCCGCTCTTCACATTAATAGAATCTTCTCTTTGACATTTGTGTATCCATTCTTTGTCAAAAGCAAATCTCATTTGGATCCTTTGGTCCTGAAATAAAATATCTCATCCTTTCATACTTCTGTAAGTGCTACGGCACGTTACTCAGCGCAAAAGCCATATTACGTAAACTTTACAATAAGAATTTAAATAAAAACTACTATTACATATATATATTTAAATTTGAAGAAACCTTGGGTCAACTAGTTATAAACCACCACGTTATAAAAGATAATAGCACTTGTTACTGCCAAATGCCTGTCTACAAAAAATATGTCGATCCTTTCCACCAACATATAGTCACAGGAGATCTTAATATTGTAGAAAATACTGAATTACGTAACCTTATGCAACTTGGCACCAAGTTTCGTCCTACTTTCAGTCTTAATAGACACGTCTGCCTCAAACAATTCAATAATGATCTAGATAAATTTATTATTATTGCTAGTACAAGATCCAATTTACCCACTACAACTTTTCTTGAATGGAAAGCTGCACTTATAAAAGAATTTCAATGTTTGCTTTTCAAGGCGCCTAATTTCAACTCTTTACACAATAAAAAACGCCTGGAGGATCTCATTCAAAAATTGCAACATAACTTTATCATCACGAAGATTGACAAAGCAAGCAACAATTTTAGTATTATTTGACAACACTTCTACTACAACCTTCTGCATAAAGAGTTAAATAACACTTGCACTTACCAAAAAATAACTTCCAGTACTCAGATTCTTCTAAATAAATTTAAAGCACTACATAAAAGACTTAAAATACAACCCCAGAAATATAACAACAGGTTTGCAAATCTCTATGCCTTACCGAAATTTCATAAGTCTCCAATTAAATTCAGGTTCATAGCTAATAGTACTAAAAGTTATCTCAAAGAAATAGATTATCTCTTTGCGCAAAAACTTCGTATGATTCGTGAACTAATCAATAACTATGATTTTAAAGGTTTGCATTGCAACTGGATGATCTCTAGTAATGAACAAGTTATTAAAACTCTGAATTCCTTCAAATAGAACATATCCAATGCTACGACTTTGAAAACCTTTATACATCTCTACCACTCGAAGAAATTTTTACAAGTTTACTTGCTCTTCCAGATTTATTTCCACAAATTTCTACCATTCTCAGCAACGAAAAATGGCAGCTATTCCTTACCAGCGTTCTCTTCAATAATTTTATTCAATTTGACAATTACATCTATAAACAAGTTCAGGGAATACCTATGGGCGGGAATTTTTCAACTTCAGTTTGTGAATTATTCCTGTTCACTAAAGAACTAACCTATGTACGTTCACTCAGAACGGAAGAAAGTCTCTTTTTCCAACACATCTATAGATATATTGATGATGTCATAGCATTTAATAACTACAACAAAATAGAAAACGCTAATATCTACCCTGCTTGCTTAAAACTTAATAAAACCAATACAGAACAGCATGATATAGTCTACCTTGATTTACATATTATTGATTACCGTTTTATTAAAGTTTACGATAAAAGAAGAGAATTTAATTTTTCCACACTTAAACTCACTAACTGGAATTCAAATATTTCCAAAAGAGTAATAATCAACACAATTTATTCACAGCTACTTAGAATGAAAAGAATTTGCAATACTGCGGATCACTTACAAGAAGAAGAAATACTATACTTCGTAACTATTTTAAAAAGTAACCAAATACCACATAAAATAATTAAAAATTCCCTGACCAAAGCTGGCATTAACCTTACCTAATTATAGATTTTTTGAGTTAGATAATGATTTTTTATACCTAAAGCTACGGACGGTTTAAGAAGGATGACTAATTCAGAGAATCTATTGTAAAAATGTACAGAAAATTCTTGTTTATTCATTCTCTTTCCTCCAAAAAAATTTTGGCACTTTAATCTTAAATACTATTATGTACATATTTTTAAATTTAAATTTCTTTAGTGGCCAATTTTACTGCTTTTATTAACAAATCGGGCTTTTTTCATTTTTCATAGTAGCTTGATCGCCCGCTAGCTTGAAGAATTACGACTTTTTTAACAAATTACTGTTTTTTTTCCTTTTTTCTCATGCTTTAATGGCCAAGTTTTTATAGTTTTAGCTGAATTTGCCATTTTCACTTCGAAAAAATTTTTTCCATCCTTCTACAAGCCAAGCGCCATTTTTTGAGCTCTTCACACGGATTCCGAGGTTTCCGGCCCCCTCCGATAATAGGAGACGAGTTACAGATAACGAAAATCACTTCGCATTGGCTAAACGCCCACAACTCTTCGCTCCCCCCTACCTACGTCATCCAAAAATAAGACGCTTGAAGTTAGCAGCCATTTTTCTGCATGTTTCAGAGGGACAGCTTTTACATCGCCAAAGGTCAGTTTTTTGTTTCTTTTGTTACAACTTTTTCTTGGTCTTAGCAAGACCCACTGAGTTGTTCTTTTCTCAATTTTTTTATTTTATATTGATTATTAACTACAGGTTTTCTTACAGTTTTCTAAAATCTACAATTTTTAAAAATTAAATTGTTAATCTTTAAGCTTGCAGGCCCAGCCCGAATGTATTTGTATTTTTAGGACTAATAGCTCATCGCTATTTATTTTCGTTTTGATTTTAATTTTAGACTAGATTTAGAAAGTTTGATTTTGATTAACATATTTTAACACCTTAATGTGTCTTTCTGAGCGGACGCGTCGGGAAATTGGAACAGAGAATTGAGACTATTAAAATTTCCAAGACACTTTGTCAAAAAATTTTTTAGCGAAAAAGTTTCAATTGTCTGTTTCGGCGAAACGCGTAATGGGGTTAGCTTGATTCGACGTTCAAATAAATGAAATTTCCCTTGAAAAGCCTGTTTGGATGTCGAATTGGGCTAATTTACCATTTTCCGCTTACTTTTTAACTTTTTCTGTTATTTAATTTTATTGTATTTATGTTTTACATGTCTAATGATTTGCTTTTCATGTGTATTAATTTTTGAAAACGTCTTTAACCTTTTGGAGCAGCAGCTCTTGGTAACTTTTAGGCGAGCTTTTAATAAATTTTTATTAGAAACTATTTATTAAAATAAGGGATGTCTCAAAATCGCTCGCAGCTCAATAAATCTGTTAAAGGAAATCAGAAGGTGGCCAGTGACGCAATAGCTGTTAGTCCCCCCATTAGGCTCGCGTCGGCGAGGAGTCGAACGAAGAAATGAGCTAGCCCTTCTATTTATCCCTGGGGCATGCTGGACCTATTTGTCAGTTCGCAAGCAACGGTAGTTCCGTATAATCCGCGATAGCTAAAGCGGATATTATACGCCGAAGACATCATTTGCATGACGAAATGCGTTGGAGGGCTGTTGGGATGTTGCAAGCTGGTGTAAGATACTCCGTTGTTGCGAGAGAGCTGACTGTACACCGTAGTGTCATCAGTAGGTATTGGCATCGTTAGCAGACGGATCAAAATCCTTGTAGAAGACATGGATCTAGATGCCGGAGGATTACCACCCCATCGCATGTCAGAAGAGCGGTGGAATTGGACCCATGAACATCGCAGTTGGATACCAGATTAGTAGGCCACGTACTCTTTACATATGAGTATCGGTTTAACATCCAGAGTGATCCCTCCTAAGGATAGGCTTGCCCGATTTCAGAAATGTTCAACCGGGACGCGTAAGGGCAGACCGCACATTGAGTTGAACAGTGTTAAACGAATGTCGCATACTGCGCATGCCCAGAAAACAATTTGGCGTAATTACTATGTTGGCGCGATTTGAAAAGAAGATAAATACGGTATATTGTAGATGTACCGCAATCTGATTGTAAACAAATCTGGCGTTTAAATCTTCGTAGAGTATAATGTAAATGTAAATTAATTACTGTGTTAAAATACTATTTTTTGCTGTACTGCTCAAAAAAATAGAAAGCTGAAATTATTGCGAAGTAATGTGAAGCAGTGTTTGCATTCAAAATGTAAAATATAATACCTATGAAATTCTGCACATTCCTTTGGAACTGTACAAATTTTCGTTCAGCAAAAGACTGAAATTTAGGATATATTAATTGAAAATTTATTTATTATACTTTTAAGCAATAAAAACAATTCAGGATTTACCATACGTTCCATTCGTACATACATAAAGAAACACTGAGGAATATAACAAGTGCTTGCAAATAACACTGAAGAAATTTTACAATTCCTTAATGCTAGTTATTAAATTCTTTGAAATGAGAAAATAAAAGCGCGAATATACGCTAACAAACTAAGCGAGATACTCCAGTTTACAATTACTGAATTATAACATGTAAACAAATTACATTTAAATAACGAATTATTACGAACAAATATTAAATGCACTGTTATTGACAAATTACAATGAAATATATATTAGAAAAATAAGCAAGTGCAATCGGTATGGACGTTAAAATAACTAATAAGCAAAGTTCCACAACATTACAGTTGTAAACATGATTCGAACACACCCGACAGCCATGGTGATCACGAATAAGCTAGCGTAGGGTTGCTTAGTCGCCAATATTTCTCCCCGCGCCAAAGGTACACCATCAAGCATTCGCAGTAAGCGAAATTTGCTTAACATTGTTCAACTCAATGTGCGGTCTGCCATTACGCAACCGGGACACCAGAATACCCCCCCCGGCGTCGCGGGTAATCAAGGGTACACACCCTTGCCGGGTCTTTAGAGTGTTTTAGAGGATCGCTTATTCTTAATGTTATGAATAAATGGTTATTTAATAGGAACCTAAACCATGGGTAATAATAAATGCATATAAATTTAAACATTTTATTTCTTACATGCTAATATTTATAAGTTACTTAAGTAAGAAGAAACACTTTAAATGAGAAATAAAAATTTGAGCAATATCTACATGTACTTTTCATTGGCTAAGACATTTTTTAGAAAGTCTTTTTTGTTTTTAATCTTGTAAAAATCTTCACAAGCTAATCCGATACTAATTTTACATGTCATCAAGCCTTTAACCGCAGAATTCCTTCATCAAACCTGTATCATCAGTCCATGCGCTGTTCATCAAAGAAAATATTCTCTTAACTGGTGCTGATGTCCCAGGTAATAAGAAGGCATACTCAATAATCTTGATCAGATTGGGGACCGCCATGTGATTCTCCTTGAAGTGATCAAACAGTCTGAGCCATTTTTCTTCAATTGAAGTAATCACATCTCTAGTAGACTCTTCTTGCTTCCACTCTTCCAAATTTGACTATAAATACCTCTTAGCAAGCACAACTTCGTCAAACATCTGATCCTTGTTTATTTACATATCGGATACATCAAGAAGACTGCTGTTAATGATTTCAGCAGAAGTTTCGGCGTTTTATACCATTAACAGCATTTGTTTTGGTCAGATTGACAAAATACTGTTCAGCCTTTGCAAAACTATTCTCCTAGAGGTCCAAGTATGCAATGCATCTTTGGCTGCTAAGTTTTTATCATTAGAACTCGCAGTCTTAAAAAAAAACTGGAGAGTTTTGATGAGCTAGCAGCACATGCTAAACTCTTTTTGTGTTTACTCGGCTGCAAATGATCTTTTATATCGAATCGACCACTGTGAGCAACAGAAAACTCTGAATTACAATTGGTGAAAATTTAAAACTTTCTTCTTGATCTTGATTGCCAGTACTTACCTTCTTCAAAAAAGGAATACATTCTCTAAATCCCCGGTGAATTTACACGACCGTTTTGGCATTAAAATGACGATACGATGACAGAGAACGCATAAATTTTAACTTAAAGCATAAATAAAACAGCGCTAGCTCACTAACACAACAGACACCACTGACAGGGATTGACAACTGAATGACTTATCTCTATTGAAAGCGGCTAGTGCCGAGGTGGGGTGTCCAATGTTATTGCACACGATGGGGTGTAGCGTGCAGGGAAATCTCATCTTGTGCTAAAGTTGCACCCCTTAGTGCCCAATATTGGACTCGCCCGGAAGCTTAATGGCAAACCGCACATTGAGTTGAACAATGTTAAACGAATTTTGTTTACTGCGCATGCCCAGGATAGTAGTTGGCGCAATTACAACTGTGGCTCAATTTTAAAAGAAGATAAATACGGTAAACGGTTGATATTGTGTTATCTGAGCGTAAACATTTCGAGGTTTTAAAACTTTTCAGGTTGTAAGTTGTTTCATTACTTAAAGTGTAACTATCGATTGTAAACTACGCAAATTTTGGTTTAAGAAGGATTATAAAGCAGGAAAATCATTACAAGATATATTAGCTGAATGCTTATTAATTATTCTTCTGAGGAATGAAAGCAATTGAGTATTTACCATACGTTCCATTCGTATTTACTTTAGCAAATTAAAGAATAAATCCAGTTTAAATTACTAAATTAAAGTAAAAAAAGTGGGCTTGGAATAACCAATCCATATATATATAAAACAGCTCAATTATGTGGTCTGATGCCTGCTAGGCATTCAAACTGACCCTATTTCCTGAAAACCGATACTAAATGTAATGTTTATGAACAAAATAAACCAAAATGAAATGAAATAGAAGCACATGCAATAAGCACAAACAAATTTCCGTAGTATTCCAATAGTAAAACAGTAAAACTAACATGACTAATAGGGTTGCTTATGCCCCTTAGTCTCCAGTATTTCCTCCCATGCCAACGGTACACCGTTGAGCATGCGCAGTAAGCAGAATTGGGTAACATTGATGATCTCAATGTGCGGTTTGCCATTACGCCGCCCGGAAAGCCTCTCGCATTGCGCATAGTCACAATTGTCGAGACAAGACGATACGATGACAATATTATTTATTGGTAGATCATCATTCTTCTATAGTTTTCACCTTTCATACGGTACAAAGATAACTAACAAAGTAATTATCCTAAATAATACTTCACAGTAAATTATTTTTAGGATTTATGGTCATCTGTAAAATCAAATTTAATTTTTACCGGGACGAAAAGTAAACCGGCCGGGACACCGAGATTTTGTCTGAAAACCGGGACTGTTTCGGTCAAACCGGGACGTCTGACAAGCCTACTTAAGGATAGTAATATGGCGAGAGGCAGGAACACGGTATCGGACGCCAAGCCTCGTCGAAAGAGACCATTACAGAGAAGGAGGCTTACTTGTATGGGGCTGGGATAGCAAAGAGCGCCAGCATCGGCTTCTGTGTGATTCTGGTAGTTCCGTCACAGCCGTCGGATATCGCAACAAAATTTTACATTTCTTGTGCATCCCTTTATCTCTGCAATGGGCATCGATGCATTTTTATGGACGACATATCGTCCATAAAAAATGCATCATTCCAGGAAACACACGTAGCTAGGTTACCATTCTCACTTACTACAGAGACTTGAAAGCCAAACAGTAATCGATTATCGCTCAAACTGGGATCACATAATCTTCAGAAGCAGAAATTTCGTCTGATTGGTTGTCTCTCTACCCGGGACCCGGGTATTTTCGGTAAGGTTTGAAAAAATCCCGCGTAGCCGCAACATTTTTCTGTAGCTAGGCGGGACTTCGCGTCCAGCGGGGCTCTTTTTTCTAGGAATCCTCCCATTTAAACCAGTGCTACCAGAATCTTGTTTCTCAGAAAAATCCCGTCTAGCAGAGACTGTAGCCTCTTTAAAACGATGGATAGCAGGTCGCAATTTGGTGCCAGACTCCCGCCACGAAATCGGGTCGGCAAATAGTGTTTGCAATTCAGGTTCCCGCGCAGGCAGTGCTAACCCAGTAGAACGCGTCGTCGAATTTCTAACATATAAAGTTCATAAAATATGTCAGATAGCATATAGATAAGTTTCTTTCGCGACGGGGGTTATATAATTACAACAGAACGGAAAGCTGATATGAAGGGATGTGGATCCGGCACTGTACCGTGTAAGATATTTAATATTTGTTTGAATTATGTTTGTTATTGTTTTCAATAAATAATCAAAAGGCATCTATTGTATAACAAGTGAATTAACATTTCAAAACGAAGACATTACATTAGGCGCTACTCACAACAAGCGCTCGACGACACTATTGCCAGCTTGCCTCGCCGTTGTGAAGCATGCATTTCAGCTAAAGGCTATCCTATCCGTTATTAGCGTTATGCTTTTATTTCACATTCTTCTGTGATGGTCGTAATACATGTGTCTTTGTATGTCTTTCCTTTATTGTTTTCTATGTGGTCTAGTAATGTCACACTAACCTCTTAGGTCTATTGCTTCATTCGCTGCTTTTTTTTTTTTTTTTTTTTTTCTTTTTTTGAGCAGGAGTGTACATAAAATTGTAGAAAATAAAAATATTTTATTTTGGGCTTTCAAATTCAACACATTTTGGGCTTTCAAATTGTTGATGTTCTTGATTCAGTTTCAAAGACAAATATCTTACACTCTGTCTACTGGCAACATATTGCTTTTAAACCGCTGAGTTTGTTAATCAAAATGTCAGTAAATCTTTTTACTTTCAGGATTATTTTTATTAAGAACGTCTCACTGTTTGAAAAATAAAGTTTTATTTGTACAAAATAATGGGTACAAAAATAAAATTTATGTATGCAGTTATGCCATATATGAATAAAAACCAAAAATCTCTAGCTGTAAGATGCAAATACAATCCATGTTTTGCGTTCACAGAAACAAAAAATTCACACAAAATTCGAATTTTGTACAGACAACTTACTTTGAAGAATACTGCTATCAGTATATTACATGACTTGAAGCATTTTGAATTCTTCAAAACAGCTTCGTTTCAGGTTTAAAGTTTGAAAAAATGCTAAGAGAAACATTCCTTAGAGAAAAATGTACATATTGATTATTGAGTCGAAATGCACATAAGTTTCAAGGACAATCAGCAAGCGACCAGTGTGCATATTATGTAAGTAATAGCATTTATACACAGAAACAACACTTTTGCTTTAAAACTGAGAATAATTTCCATGCATTTCACTATTTTAGCTCATTCATCCTAACAGAGATGCAATAAAACTTAAAACAATTTTTTATAATAAAACATTTCGCCATTTATCTCATCAATCATAAATTTTAGTATAAAGAAATGCTGCTTATATATAATACTCCTGAAAAAGAGTTTCTGATAGGATCAGTTAAGGACACAGATGCAATAAAATAGAATAAATTTTATAATAAAATATTTCACCATTAATCATAAAGTTTAGTTAATTGAGAAGCTGAGATTTAATGTTCCTGCAAGTGAGATGTAATAAAACTGAGAACGATTTTTGTAATAAAACATTTTGTCATTTAGCTCATTAATCATAAATGCTCCTGTAAAAAATACACTGATAAGAACTAAAGTTCTTGTAATAGAGATGCTGATAAGGCCTAATATTCATTTAACAGAGATATAATACATCATAACAATTTTTATAATAAAATGTTTCGCCATAGAAATTTCGATAAGGTCTATTATTCTTATAAAATAAATGAAACAAATCTGATAACAATTTTTTACAATAAAAAGCTTTGCCAAACGTCTCATTAATTATAAATGTTCACGTAACAGAAACGCTGATAACAATGCAGTCAAACCTCCTTAAAGGGTCACATGTGGAACACGAAAAACTGGCTTTTCCAGAATGACGTTTCATCTGGAGTTGTAAAAACAAAAGGCTTTTTGGAACAAAACAGCAAAATATTTAAATAAGTAAAGCATAACTATAAATAATAATCTATATTAAGTACTAAAGTACATTTTAAAACACTTTCAAGATGACACTTATCATAATACTAATCAAGATTAAAATACCTTGAAACTGATGTTTGATTTCTTTACTAACTATTGATCCAATTCTACAAAATTTCGCATTTTCTGAAATTGCTTTTCAATAGGCAGTGTGTACATTTTAGCGATTTCTAAACTGTTTAAAATGAGTTTTTGTTCGGCCCTTTCTATGAAATTTCCTCGCACTAACATTACGAACTTCCATCAATTACAGAGACCTTAGGTTCCAAAACTAGCAATGCTCTTTGTAAAACTAAAGATGATACAGATCTTCCAATTCTTAATCTTTTAATCATTCATTCAAATCCAACTTAAATGACCAGCTAACTATATTTACCGACAATCGAATGATAAGCGGCTGAATCGAATGTCTAATTCTCTCAATAAATACAAGATAATTTATAATTCTAATTTATTATTAAATACTAATTAAATGCAATATTTAGCTTAATTAATATTGTATAATTTATCATAAAATTTTGTATAATCTGCTATTAATACTGATTTAATTAATAATTAAATTCAAATATTGTGTAATTTATTATTAAGTATTGCATTAGTTAATAATTTAAATTTTTTAAAATTAAGAATTATTAATTACACTTAAATAATATTGTACTTAATTATGTATATTCAATTAAGTTATTGTATTTAACTAACATTAAATATTGTATAGAATTAAACAAGTTATAACTGAATAAAACAAAGCAATTATAATCACTCTTACGACTATAACTATAGGAAGAGAACAAATAAAAAACAAAACTAAAACTAACAATATTATCAGAAGTTATTCATCCGCCTAATAAATTTCAAAATATATCTACATTGGATGTAGAAAATTCTAAATATAACTTTAAGTTTTCTTCCTCAAATAGAAATGTGTTCGCTACTTGTCAGGAAATGGAGGAGAAACTGGTAAAATATGTAAAGAATTTCTTCCCCCATTCGGAAGGCAGTGATGGAATTACGAAAGAAGTTGCAATGGAACCTGGAAAGCATATCTACTTGCTTCCCTAAGGAAATGCGGAGTTCATATTTGATTGTCTTCTTGATTGACAGATTTTGGTTTTGTTAATTGATTTTAGTGATTAAATTATCTGATTGATTTCTAAGCACGGTAGTGTTTTCTGCTAATAATTTATAATAATAATACTAAGCACGGTAGTGTTTTCTAGAACATGAATTCTACAACATTCTGTGAGCAACAGTGCCTTTTTGAATAAAATTATACTGATCAATATTTTTCATGAAAATCTGCATAGAATTGCTCGTCGCTTAACTTCCTAATATCAGATATATTTTCTAAACTGACATTTTTCTTTCAGTTACGAACAAACACAAGCATTTCGCTTTCTAATTTGTGTACGACCCCTGAATATGATCCCCAAATTTAAAAGGAAATAAATATCTGAGTCAATTTTTGTCGTACGGGATCCATACCTTTTGCATTTTATGTATATAATTTTCCTATATTTAAGTGTTGCTAATAAAGCGTTCTTTTTCGTAAATTTTACAAAATTTATTTCTTTTAATTAAAAAGTACAAAAACTATATATTTGTATCATTTAAAACTGTTCTGTAAATGTAAGTATATGTCTCCAACCAACGGTTGCGAAAATAAAGGCCAAGTAAGGACTTTTATGGAGACGGTGTATATTATATAGAAACGAAATAGAAGAATTGGTGGCAAGAAAAATCTCTGACCTAATAAGGCTGAGTGACCTGAAAAGGAGATTTGATTGTATATAAAAACAAGTAATATACATTGTTATAAAAAAAGGAGATTTGATTGTATATAAAAACAAGTAATATACATTGTTATAAAAAAAAGGAGATTTGATTGTATATAAAAACAAGTAATATACATTGTTATAAAACATATATTTGCTATTGAACAATCGAAACGATTTCTTTCTTTGACATGCAGGAGACAATTTTTTCCCAGCTGGCAATTTTTTTACCAGCTAGTTACGTCCTCTATCTTTCATTCATCTCTTCTTGCTTTCTTCTTCAACGTCACGTGTTAGGTCTATAATCTTATGACCCTCTTGAGCGCCTTCAAAGTTACCTACCCAAGGATACTTTGGAGGGCATTTTGCACAAGTCTGCATGTATCTCATCTCCTGAAAGCCCTCCTGTACGAAAGGGACTGGACAGTTTTTGGGTAGATTGCAAGAGCTTTCCCTTTTTTCGCAGGCCCAAGGAGCGAAAGAATTGAGATTGGTTACTTTGGTTGGTTGTCGCATCCAAGATACCAGCTCTTGCATTGTCACAAACCACACGTCCTTGTTCTTTGACAGTAGGTTGTCCACAAAGTTTAAGAGGACTTTAGTCTTGTTTCGATCGGTAAACCAATTAACGTGAAAATACAGACCCAGCGGTGCTCTGTAAAAAAATAAGTGATATTAATGTGAGTAACATAAGCGATAAGAAACATAAGTAATAAAATAACACAGAGATATCGAACTGTAACAGAAGCATGCCAATATAAAATTTAAAATCTGGAAAATCATCAACCTTAATTAAGAGTGATTGTGTACAAAGCTCTAGCGATTTGAAGGGCGATCAGAAACAGGAAAGTCAGAGATATAATCTTTAAGAACATATTAGCGAATTTAATTGATGGCCGAGTAAATGACCTGAAATTTGAAATTTTGGGGAATCCGTGCATTTTTGTAACTGCTGACACAGTGATGAAATGGGATGACCAGAAGGTTATCAATGGTATTTTTAACAATGGAATATCTAGTCATAGAAACGTGTTTTGGAAAGTTATATCTCAATGTATATTTTTTTTTTAGACACGTTGTTTCTAACATTTTTATTAGTACCAGGGGAGTAGTCGGAGATTTTAGTGCCCGTAGCGATCTTCTGTCGCCTTTTTCATTGCACTCTTAAAAAAACAGGATGGGACATAAGACATTATACCCTTTGTTTTGTATATTAAATATTTATTTATTATCGAAACGTTATAAAATGAATACATAGTTTTTGAATATGACAAGTTAGTTTAGTGCAGAATGCGTTCAGTGTGCCCATCTTTTTTTTTTTTTTTTTTTTTTTCTCTCCCCTTCAGAAGCGAACCTTCGAATTTGTCACAATTCCCCGGCACACACACGGCTTCTGAAACTGTACGATATAACTGGTCTATAAGAGCGATTATAAGGTATTTCTCCCGCCTTATTAGCGTGCCTTCGTAATGTAGTAGTCTGCACGCTGGGCGCGTATTCCAGAGGTTCGCAGTTCGATTACCGGTGAAGGCATTGCTCATTTTTCAAGGTTTCCTGCTTCCAATTAACCTAATGTCTCTACAGTGGCGCCAAACTAAAAGGGTGGTGGATGATGATTCTCCACACCCAGGATTGGCGATTGGGTCCCTTAAAAGCACCAGTCGCCCTTTAAAAAGAGGAGTATATAAGGTACTTCTCCCGCCTTCTTAGCGTGCCTTCATAGTGTAGTGGTCCGCACGCTGGGCGCGTATTCAAGAGGTCCGCAGTTCGATTCCCGGCGAAAGCGTTGCTCATTTTTCATCTTGTCTGCTTCCAAAAATACCTAATGTCTCTACACGATGAACTGCAATAATTTGCAGGCTTCCTTGCAAAAACCTTATGTTAATAATTTTTTTATAGAAAATCGACAGGGGAAGATTATGTGAGTAAATTAATTTCTGAAGGACGCGGTTACATTACACGCGGTTAAGAACATTACAAATGAAAAGTAGTCATGAATAAACTATATGTAATTGTCATAATATTGTTACGAAATGTACAGGCGCGGTAAGATGCCTTCCCCGCAAAGCAGGTTTAAGGTTGCCATACAATGCAAAGAAAGACAGGGTTGTCACATTTGGCGAGAAATCGCCCATTTGGCGATATGCCATGGACGGATGGAGAACCTTCTGGAACGAATTCTTGCAAGTTTAGCTCAGAATGTTCTCGAACACAAGCCCAAAACTATATAAATCCTGCTGGTCCGCAGTCAGTTAGAGTGTGCCTTGTCTAGAGTGCGAGATAGTTAGTATCGAGTTGGTGTCTCGTCTAGCGAGTCAATCCCTGCGGAGTCGATCAAGTTGACAGCCGGGCAGCGAGTGCCGAGTGGGTTGTCGAGTGCACAGAGAGAGTCTCATAGTGTATCGCGATTAGTGCATCGTCGAGAGAGTGTGTTGAGCTCCGGGAACGACTGAACCGAAGAGTCGGGAGCTGTGCTCTATGTGTCGTCGAGTGCATCGCGAGTTGTAGAGTGGAGTTCTGAGAGTACGTGGAGTTCCGAGAACGACCAAGCAGAGTCGGTAGCTGCACTCTAGTGCTTTGCCGTGAAGCTGTCTCCGCCGTGATAGGCTGATAACCTGGAGACTTTGTCGCTGATCGTGTCAGCGTGTTTATAGTAGTTCATCGAGGACTGTAAAAATGTGTTTTGGAACTGTCCTGACAATACTGGCCAGTAACTTCGCCTTTTTCATTGCTTTGTGTTTCGATACTTCATCAAGTAGTATTGTCATTATTCACTCCAAATCCACACGAACCCCGTACGAACGTGAAGGAAGAAAATAACGTAACAACTGGTGTCAGAAAAGAAAAATGCAACAATATTATTTCTTTAAAAGAAATACATTCTTATATGAATACAAAGTAATATGAGCATTACAGTATCTAATAAGATATCGTTCCTGTAACTTGAAGCTCGCATGTTCTTTTGGTTGTCTCTGCTACTCATTCGGCCTCAAATCATTCATAACTAATTAAGGAAGTTGAATGTGCAGCCTACGCGGCGAATTCGTAGGCTGAATGTCACTTCGTGTTTACTTCTATGCTATGTGTCGGTTCTTGTATTAGGCTGGCATTAAGTTCGACAGTTAGAAGAGAAAGGTTCGCTATAACCTTCCCAGGTAGTTTGCGAGGATCTGCCCTTGTTAGAAAGACAAAAATAATCCCTATGTGAACGAATCTGTTTTAAAATTTAGGGAAACTTGTTTTCTGAATACACTGAGGAAGGTGAAAACTGCGCGAATATTTTTTTTTTTTTTTTTTTTTTTTTTCAAAAACCTGCCGTTAAAATGTTAACGTGAGGAAATCCGGAGGAATTCGGTATCGTGAGGAAATACGGTATTCCTCACTGAATGGAAAACTTCTATTATATTTAGAAAACGCATACCAGTCATTTTCTGTTCAGTCTACTTTTATTAAAATCAACTGACATGTTTTCTTCTCAGTTTACTATTATTAAAATCAATTGACATTTATGATATCTACCTCTACTATTAAGTAATGAAGAATCTGTGTGTATGTATGCATGTTCCTTGCATTTTCGGAAAATGGCGACATCTAAACCACTAAATTTTGAACACACGTAGCCCTCCCCCCGAACATAGGCATACCGAAGCCGGACTTTTTTTAAAATTACTTATTTTATCTTTTGAGCGATTTTAATACATTTCTGATTTCTAATTTTTTTTTTTTTTTTTTTTTACACTTTAACCTGATTAATTTTAATAAAATGCATTTAATTCATGTTAACCTAATCAAAAACATTAAATATTTATACGAAATTACACTAGCTGCAGTCGTTAAAAATTATTACAGGTATTTCCTTTTTTTATAACAACTATTTTGGTTAGCAAAAATTTGGAAGAAAAAAAAAAAAAAAAAAAAAATCAGAAGAAATCTCATGGGTTTTTATATACTAAAAAAAGGGGGGGAAGCACCTGATACAAAAAGGAAAGGCACATCATACATACTCTCCTCCGATGAGCATATACAGCAAATGTAACGAGAATTATTTATTTGCGCTAAAATAAACAAACACATCCATTAAAAATGAAACATACTTGTGAATTTACATGTAATGTAATGCTTCTTTTTAATCAGACCTATTTTACTGCTTTTAAAATTGATATACATGTCTAGTTGCGGCTCTGGAATACTTCGGAATTATCTCATGCAATTCTTGTCGACATAAAATGTTGCCATTCCTGCTGTACAAAAATTCGTGTTTTTACAGAGTTTAAATGCAAATAAAATGCTAGATAAGAATTTGCTTTCAGTGGTGGAGGAAAAGAAAAAAGGTCTGAATTCAGACAGCTTCTAATGAAGATATAATTCGTATCCAAATTCAGATAAGTGTCCGCAGTTTCTTAGATAATGAAAGTTTCTTAGATAATGATCTTTCATTAGATAATGAAAAGAAGAGATTATTTGAATTTAGTTTCCACACTGGCTCTTCTTTCTATTACTAAAAAGAGACTTACGATACTCAGAAAGATTCTACAAATACAACTACTGTTATTATTTATCAGAACAATTTTTTCATTTTTTGGAAGAGGGAGGGAATCTGAAAGGATTCAGATTTTAATAGTCGCCCAAAAGGTTTCTTTTAAAATTTAATATTGTTTATGAATAGAGATTAGCAACACAGGTGGCCCAGGTGGAATAGCGAAACATTTTATAGGGTACTGGATGAATAGACAATTAGGGTAACACGCGAACATTATACATCTTATGCATATTTGAAAAGTGAAAAATATAGAACGTAATTTTTAAAAAATGTTGAATGTTTTTAATTATATTTTTAATTAGAATTTAGTGCAATTTCATTGAAATCAGTACGATTCAAAAGTAAAAAAATAATATTCTTAAGAACTCCCCCTATTCCTTTTCAACAGTTTAGTTTGTTAATCATTTCAATTTAAGACTCAAATAAAAAATGAAACAATCTTGGATAATAGATCGTGTGAAATAAAACCTGATTCCAGGCAGAAAGTTGGCAACAGACATGGAAGTAGCTAAAAGCACACAGGCAGTTACCGTAACTATTATTTTTGTATTCAGAATTTAAATTGTTGACTAAAATCTGAGCATCGGTGACACCATGAGTGGCTTTTCTGAAGCCTTTTTCATATGTTACGCCGTTAAAAATTATGGAAACTTTACTATTCGTATCCCACGAGTAGTTCTAACTCGTTAGTGACGTTTCAAATTTTGTAAAATGACTTAAAAAAGCTATGTTGTTTGTTGAAATCCTGTAAAATTTAATTTTTACTGTTCTTATTCTTAAATTTGTAATAACTTAATGTAAATAACAGTGAATTACCTTACTGTAAGTTTCCTCATGTTTTGGCATAATTAATTCCTTACACTGCACCTACTTGTGTGCAAAAACTTTCAAATCAAGCAAATTTTTAATTGCAAACTCTTATATTAAAATACTGTTAAGAAAGGTAAACGGGAGTTTGTTGTGATTTTATGCACTAAGCGCAAATCGTTTCCTGTTAACTAAATTTAAAATTCTAGATTTCAATAATTAATCAAGTAACTTATAAGATATTTTCTCCCTCCTTCCAGTATGCCTTCGTGGGGAAGCGGTAGCACACTCGGAGCGTATTCGAGAGGTCCAAGTCCACTGCTCATTTTTCACATCTCCAGCTTCAAGATAACCTAATGGCTCTACAAACTAATGAAATACAGATTTCCAATGAATCGTAAAATACACATCTCTTAACAGGCACTTTACAGGCAGGTCAAAATAACGGCACTTTTAAAGACCTAAATTTAAATCCGAAATTTAGGCCTATGAGATATGAAAATCCGCGCGGACAGGACAGTGGTGTGCGATACAGGGGCACTCAAAATATACAGCGAGCCGAAAGCGCTCTCAAGTGGTCTGATGGTTGGGTAAAGAGAGGTGGGAGACCCTCGGATCCACCAACCGAGGTACTTACCTTCAAAATTTAGGACGGGAAGTGGGCGAAGTGTCACCTATATGGTGCTCTAGGTTCGTGCCAACACAAGATGGCGATATTAATTGCTGCGAGGTGAAAGGTCTTCTCTTCTCCGGAAAGAGCTATGCTGGAGGGAAAGAAAGTCCGCATCCTTCCACCCTATTTTGATAATAATTCGGTCCGAATGGCGCATGCGTGTTTGCGTTCATGGTCGAGGAGGAGGCGGTCGAACTATACTTCTCAGTTTTTGAAAAAATCGTAAATTCAGCGAGAGGACACCAGAGTCCAAAATAAAACGAGTTTCGGTACTCTTAAACGCACGCTGAGCGGTAAGTCATTGAACACTGATAGTTCAACCTGGGCTCGATTCCGGGAGAACAGACAAATGCATGGTCGTTTCTGTGGTTTTCCGCATGTGAAACATGGATATGAGTTAGTTTTCTGTAGAAAGACCTCCACAAAGGCATCCCTTACTTAAGACAGATAGTCCTAGCGTGCTTAGCCATAATCAAATAAACTACACAAAACTTTACAGTAGAAACAGAATTGCAGGTATTAGCTCTTTTAAATTAATGAAGTATCTAAAGGTATTTTTTGTTCCTTCCATTGTGAAAAACGGCCGTCATCCATTGCCATCAAATTTTGAACGTCTCCCCCCCCCGGGTATTATCGTCTTGAAGCCTGGATTTCCATATTCGAATTTGCTTTTTATTTAATTTATGGTTTTTGAGAACTTAATGAAATTTTTATTAATAAACTCGAAGACTTCAAAGAAAAACGTTGCGTGCTGCAAAGAGCAAAATATTTTTATTTCAAATTTAATCCGAAAATTCAACAATTTAGAAGCAATGTGTTGTAAGTCGGTAAAACGTGAAGTACTTATATCTCAAATTTATTTAATAACTTCATTAGCAAATTTTTACAGGTTTTTGGGGGATAATGAGATCGATCGGGTATAGAAAGCCCCGGATAGAGTGAACGAAACATTTAGTTCATGTATTATGACTGTCAGCAATCTACAGCATACTTACAAATCTTAAAAAACAGTTAATTAATTAAAAATGGTTCTTACTTTCTCTTCCTAAACTTACCGGTTTGTATTATAATGCCTGTTGAAGTTATCCTTCAAAAACTGCTCAACGGATTCATCATCGTTCTCTTGAAAAACACACTGGTCCGCCAGACTGCACATGCCGCCCGTCCCATCCTCGCTGAACAGCGTGTTCAGAGGTATTTCCCACAAACCAGGGAAAGATCGAGTAGGGCACGAGCCCTGCATGCACTTGTGTGGAATCCTGTAATCCAAAGTGTAGGGCCAGATAGGGGTATACGTCTTGGGGACGGTGATGGAAGAGTCGTAAACGAAGTCGTAGTCGTACGCCATACTCATCATTTCGTTTCCTCCCGGATGCAAATAAGGAACTCTCATTCCCAACAAAGAATCTCGGGAAACATTAGCGAACATGTGCAAGATCTCTCTCTGCCCCACCATTTCTTCGGCGTAATCTTCGTACGAAGCCTTCTCCCACCATTCTTCGGGAGAGCGATTGCTGAAAGAAAAAAAATGTAATATGGTGTTACACTTCAATAGTACAGAAATGAATCAAAGCAAATCAAGGAAACAACAAATGGAAACAAAACAAATAAAAGAAACAAAAGGTTGAACTACTAAACTGATTTTGGATGATGCGTTACCTAAACATTCACTGAAAATGCCCTTAAAAGATGCTTATAAAATAAACAAAGGTGCTCCCAAAATAAAATAATAATAATACAAAAATAACACAACTGACAAACATTGATAAATGGATTAAAATCCAAACAATTATACATACCTGTCATCTGAATTTTATTTTTAATTCCGAATTTTCAACCATATACAACAAATGCTTATTAAATGCGTGTAGATGTTTTGGAAAGTGAAAGATCTGTTGTTATTAGATAAGTTTTCATATCTTGAGAAGATTTTATGCACATCTATTATACAAATAATCTTTTTTTTTAAAATGGAAGGATTCGAAGTTATTCGCCAATTTATACCGGTTATAACAGCTGATCAATAAATAAAGAGAATTTTATCGAGGTACAAAAATGCACTCATACAGCTGTGAGTGTGTAAGTCCAATAATATGTCTATGGAATAGCTTATTCCCCTCTGCATGGAATCCTTTGTAACTACAAAAAGTCTTAAAAAGCAAAGAAATGCGGTATTCAAAAATTCTTAGTAACACTCATGCCGTGTGGAAAGATCCTGTCGTGATAAATAGAACTAACAGATAACATAATCAGTTTCAGACCATGCTTTCTTGCCAGAATAATATTTCAGTTTTCCGTGTTATGTAAAGCAGTGTACAAAGGTACTATTTGAATTGGTGGCTGAATTACTTCAGATAGAGCGTCTTCTGCCTTTCGGTCCGTTCGCTGATATTTAAGCTTGCTATTTTACAGCCGTGCACATTGATTGCCGGTTTCTCTGCGTCGCTTGCAGGGCTAAGAGCCAGCTCGCATTAATATTGTTACGAAATGTCCAGACGCGGTAAGATGGCTTCCCCGCAAAGCAATTTTAAGGTTGTATAAAATGGTAAGGGAAGGCAGGGTTGCCACATTTGGCGAGAGATCGCCTATTTGACGACAAAATTGGCGATATGCCATGGACGGATGGAAACTTATGAAACGAATTCTTACCGGTTTAACCCAGAATGTTATCGAACACAAGCGAAGCTATATAAACCCCGTTGGTCCGCAGTCAGTGTGTGTGTGCTTCGTCTAGCGAGCTGATAGTCAGACATTGAGCGAGTGTCTCGAAGTCTATCGCCGAGTTGGTCGTCGAGTGCATCGAAGAGTCTCTTAGTGTATCGCGGTTAGTTCATCGTCGAGAGAGTGTGTTACGCTCCGGGAACGACTGAACCGAAGAGTCGGGAGCTGTGCTCTGTGTGTCGTCGAGTGCATCGCGAGTTGCAGCGTGGAGAGTCTCGAGAGTACGTGGAGTTCCAAGGAACGACCGAGCAGAGTCGGGAGCTGTACTCTGGTGCTTTGCAGTGAAGCTGTCTCCACCGTTATTGCATGACAGTGTGAAGGTTGTGTCGCTGATTGTGTCAGCGTATTAATAGTAGACCTTCAACGACTGTAAAAGTGTTTTGGAGCTGCCCTGGTTAATTTTGATAAATAAAGTGTGTTTTCGATACTTCATCAAGTGTCGTCGTTATTCACTCCAAATCCACACGAACCCCGGACGAACGTGAAGGAAGAAAACAACGTAACAACTGGTGTCAGTACAGAAAAACGCAACAATATTCTCTATGTTGCTTCGGTTGATTATTTAACATAGGCTTAGTTTTAATTTTATATTTCTATTTTGAGTTATAGCCAGAAATATTGGCTGAGTTGTAAGCACCAGGAGTGTCAGCTGTAAATAATTTGAGCTGAATAAAAGGGTCTTTTCCCCCTTCCCATGTTTTGCTATCGATACAATATGAGCTTAGTGAATAGTCCCTTTATAATTCAAGTGAGCTAGCCAACAAAAGTAACTTTAATTTAGCAGGAATCGTACAACTAAGAAGTTCACAACTGAGGCCATAAATACATTATTGTATTATCCTTCAGAAAATTGTGACAATCTTAAATCAGCTTGACTAAAATAGTATTGTAAAAGGACTTAATTTGTTTAGGCTAATGATGATTTTATTTTTAAGACTACAGTAACATTCCTCAATAATAACTGTATGAAGATTTAAATACTGGTTTTTAAAATTTAATATAAACTTTATGCTTTTATACCTTTTCAATATTCTGAGAATGATATTTATGAACTCTGCAGACTGTAAATTCTGCATGTAATTATGTAAATTCTGATTTTTGAATAAAGAATAAATGCCAGCAGTTTCCTCCACTTAGTGAGCAACAATAGGTGAAAGCCTTCCGGTTGTACAGCTCCTCACTTAGTGGTAGCTAATTAATTAACTGCAGAAATCAGCAATACGTGTGCGTATTTATTAATAAAATGCAAATGCGTCTGACTATACTAGCGATCAGTCAAAAGCTAACTACATATGGTAAAAAGCATGTGCATCCGCCGAACAATATAGTCCTATCATTTTCTAGAAGCCTTAATTTAGAAACTAGAGAATGTTATGAGACTAATGTTGAGATAAAAAGACTGATCAGGAAAGGGAGCTTAGGGAAAGAACATTTCACCCCTAATCGTTTATTTGAAAAGGAAATAACATACATGTCAGTCATTTGATGATAAGAACAGATCCCATTTTTTGATATTTGTAATTTTTTTTTAAATTGCAATTAAAAAAATTTTCTAGTGGGAAAGGGTGTTTTTCTCCCTACCCCCCTTCTTTTATGCTATATGGAATAAGTCGGTAGAACAAAAAAGAACACCATGTCTTACCTGATTGAATGTATTGCAATTTCATGGCCGTCTGCGTAGAACTTCTGCACGTGGTAATGGCTCGTGTACTCGTGACTGACGAAAAACGTACCCTTGATGGGACAACCATTAGGGTTTGTCCTGGATTTATTCAGAAGCAATCGATAATGATCAAAATTCAGAGAATTAATCGCCCCGTCGAAGGACAGTAGAATCATCTGAGGAGTTTCCGTAGGTTCTAGGCCTCCTGGTATTCGGGTTCCATCGGAGCTGCAGAAGCAATCGGGCAAAACGCAGGCTGCTGGGTCACATTCAGGAATTGCTGAAGGATCTGGAGTTGTGGAGTCGGTAGGTTGTGCTGTGTGAAGACAGATTTCGAAAAACTATTAAAAATTTTATTTCGAAACGGTAAAGAGAATATGAACATTATAAACTTCTGCGATATTAAAATATAAATATATATACCAATTGAGGGGAATAAAGGGGATTCATAACTTCTTAGGTATTTTGTGAATATGTGACATTTAATTAGCAGCAGCAATTTAATTTTAATCTGTCCTTCCTGGGTTGTTTCGACTCGCGCTCTCTTACTATAGCAAGTGACGTTAGTAGGAAGAATCAAAGTTACAGTCGTTACAATCACAGTCAGTTTAAGCTAGGGGCAATAACACGCCACCATCGTTAAAAAGTGGCTTTTGATTTTGGTTTGATTTATTTTATTAAGGCAAGGAACGCTAGGGCTATCTTCCTGACAGATGCGCTCATGAAGGTCTTTCTAAGCGAAACTGGCTAGTATCTACGTTACACATGAGAAGAATAACGAAAGCGCCAGTGCAACTAGCCGGTTCGTATGGAAATCGAACCTAGATCTCACTATCAGTGTTCAGCCACTTTACCACTTGTCCGCTGAAAGCGACATGTGAGGGTAAATATTTGGTAGAAATGCTTCGCTTCCTAGAAAGACCCCTCAAATCGTTATACATGAATTTCTCAAATTTGTGTTTTTATTGTTGCTTATAAACTTAAGCCATGGTATTTTGAAACACCCGAGTTTGATAGTTCTGATGTGCCAAAATATTTGGTAAATATAGTCAAGCCCCACTGTAACGAACTTCAAGCAATCAAGAGACCGGAAGTATCGTTCGCTATAAGAGAAAAATAGATTATCTCACAAAAAACATGTAAAAATTCAATGATAAACAAAACTGCAATCATTATAACGTTAATTTTTGGTTGTTCATTTGTTGTTCGCTCTTTGAAAATCTTTCTAAAACGTCTGGCAAACTCATTTGCCTTTATCCAAAGCATTTGTCCAGATATTGGCAGACGACGACTTCGTTGAATGGCGAACCATTTCAGAAATATTTCTTCAAAATCTCCATGCTCCACCTTTCTTAACTTTTCCCCTGGTGTCCAGATCTTTTGTACGAGCAATAATTATAGAGTTTTAATTTTTTTCATGGTGCCAACCGGAGATTTGGGTAAATATATTTCTGGCAGATATCGATTCGATTGGATCCATTTTGTAATTTTCGAATAATGCTCGCCTTATCTTCGATCCAGAAGCTTCGCGTTTACTTCTTGCTATGCGGATGAATTTTTGACACAGAAATAGAATGCAGAGAATTTGGTCAAAGAGTTTTGCTCATTTGAAAAACATGGAAAAGGAAGATAATTTCATCATTTACGTGTCTTATCTATTGTCCATTGAAAACACAATCATTTCCCCCAAGATACGTTGTTTGCGAAAAAAAGATTTAATAACTTTATAAAGAATATCTTTTGTTTTTCACAAGACGTAAGGAGAGTGAAATTCCTGTTCGGAGGCTAGAAGACTTGGAAAGCATCTGTATTGAAACAAAACAAACCGATAAGGGTACCGACGATCAGTTTTAAGTCAGAAACTGATCTTCAGTTTGTTGTTTATTCACACTCCCTTATGCTGCGTCACCGTTATGAAGATTTTGGTCTTTTCGAACAGCAGCCAACTTGCATAAAGGTGCCTCACCGTTAAGAGGGCGTCCTGATATTTTGATCGTCATAATAGTATACATAACCAATACATACACCGTGTCCAGAAAAATCCTCACTTGGCTTTTATTTTCACGATCGGTGAACTGTAATGAAATTACTTTTGCATAAAATACAAGATCTAATTTTTCAAGTCGTTTCCCTGTCCTTATATTTAGAAAAATTTCATACACGTTAAAAAAATTTTTTAATTCCATACGATAAAATTTGACAGAGATATTTAATTTCAAAGTTTGGGATATCTGACATCATTTTTAGATTCTTTCGAGAGGTCAGTTAATAAATAGATAGGAAAAATTTAAGGTTGAATTTTTTTCCTTAAAAGCGATTCGATAATATACTCGTGTGATTTATGAGTATAATTTTATTACAAATGGCATGCGGAAAGAAGTTATATACATATAATTTATAAAGTTACAAACTAAATGTTATTTAATTTGTTTTTTTCCTTTTTGCTTCTTTTCGTCAAGAGGTTCGCTCATTCAAGAACTTATGTAGATTTGAATGGCAAGCAGTTTTATTGTAAAGAAATAGAGAAATTACGAAGAAATGTTTGAGTGTTTGGCCTGCAGTTAGCTGCCTTGCCGATTAAAGCAAAGTCTATTGCCAACGCGAATTCTGGTTATCCTTTGAATACTATAAATCAGGAGTGGGTAAAAGGCGGCCCCCGAGGCAGAATGCGATCCTTCTAATTGCTTAATCCACCCCATATGACAGGTTTGGTTTGGTTTATTTAATTACGGCAGAGCATTCCAGGCTATTTACCTAAGGGAAGGGATGCCTTCGTGGAGGACTTTCTAAGGCAAACTGGCTCGTATACACGTTACACATAGCGAAAACCAGAAAAATGCCCCTGCAGTCAGCCCGTTCGTGGGTGTCGAACCTCGGACCCAACTAACAGCGTTCAGCGACTTTACCGATCGGCTGCTGGGGGGCCCCACTCTGTTATGAAATCTTGTACAACGACATTTTCATAGCTTTTCTACCCGATTTTGCTTGCAAACTACCAAAATCAGCATTACGAATGCGCATTTATCGTTTAAACAAAGAAATATGAATAATGCTCAGATAAAAATATTGAATAAAAAAGAAAACTTACGGAAACTATATTTCAAAGCTAAATTTTTAATAAAACTGAAGCGGTATACTATTTGGTGACTAATAGGAACAGAATTAATAAAACAAATTAATGAAGAAATTATAGAAATTAGTGCAGAAATCATTTTGATTGTAACTGTAATTTTTTTAAAAAGTTCTACCGGGGTTCTAATGTTTTCTTCCCTGTCCCCTCCATCACGTTTCGCAAGCAATAGGACACTGCAAAACATCGCCAAGGTCCTGTCCGCATGATGTACTAAAAGTGACATTTTTGGCCCACAGTTAAAAGTATTTGTCCATCTCTGCTGCAGAATGAGGATTTTCTCTGTCAAACTCTACCAAAATCTCTACCAAAAATTAAAGTCTCTACCAAAATTAGATTTGAGCGGCTGAATTTTATATTCATTGTAAAAGGCAATTTTGAGCATTAAACCAGGTTTGGCTGGTAAATTTATATTTTCATATTTTAATTTAATCATATACAAATGGTGAGGTTGAATTAACCTGATATATTTTAATTATGTGTCTGTCTCTTTAACGTTTAGATATTCTGGTGGATCTGTATGCCTGCGACCAACAATTGTGGAAATGGAGGCCTTTTGTGGACACGGTGTATAGGAAAAGATATGGAAAAACTCACACATAATATTGAATGAAAGATTTCATAGGTTCTGACTGATGACTGCACTGTCTGTCTACCAGAAGTACAGCTTCAGCTCCAGTGTTTGGCGGTTGGCGGTCGCTATAGCAACAGGGTTAGTATATTTTAAATAAGGGAGAACCAAGGGTTGCTTTATTGTTACTTGGTTTTCGGCGACTGTTGGCTGAGGGTAAAAAAAGTTTATCATTCGCCTTCAAGACGCCCCTACAGACAATGGGTAAAGGCTCGTTTCTACGGCAACAGACAGCTGCAGACTAACTGGCAAGCACTTTTCTTATGATAGACAGACTGTACCGTCACCATCGAGATAGATAAGGCCTGCGCTCTGAAACGAAACTGGCTTGTGACGTCACGCTTAAGGGACCCTCAGCAAACTTTTTGTTGGCTTTTATAAGTTGTAATTTTTTATTTATTATGTTTTAAGAATTGAATTTATGTTTACTTTTGACATCTGAAGCATCATCCCTTGTAATAATTACTAACACTAGTAATATAAAAATTGTCAGCAACATTTATGATTATTTATTTTAATTGGAAACTAATTTTATATGAAATAACTGTCCTAAGGGGTTAAAAGCATAACACTTATTTCATTACATAATATGTAGAATATCAAATGCAGAGTAAATTGATTCTGGACAGAGTACTGTGTTCTTAAATTTAAATATCAATGTTTTTTGCAAATCATTAAATATCATTTTATCATGATGAAACTTAAATGCATATATTTAGCTAATATAGCTTCTGTTCACTTTTATATATGTTATTATCATGTAATCAGTTTGTTTAAAATTTGTTATGCAATATAAATCTTTCTGAGAATGATAGAAAAGTTTCTAAAGTAATGTATATAAGATTCATATTAAGGTAATTAAATTGGGAAACTGCAAAATGAAATTTTAAAAATGTACAGTTATTGAAGAAGCAGTAGTAATTGAATTCATATGTAGACATACTTGTTTTCATTGTATTTCAATTCAATGCAATTTTAAAAACATTTTTTTTTAATTATCTTTTAAATTACAATCTTTAATTTGAGGACGTGGTACCACCAAAAGCTATGTAAGTTAAGTTAAAAAAATTGCTTACATTATACAGAAAAGTTTTGAACATGATGTTAGGATTTATATTTTCTTTTCATGTGGATATTAATAGAAAAAATATTTTCAGAACAGAGGTAACGCTAATAGTTTAAATAGGTATGATGTAAATATTTGCAAGAAATTTCAGTTTCTAAAAGTTTTTTTAAGCATTTCGTATATTTTAAAAATATTTTCAAAAAAATTGTGTATAACTTTATTTAAAATTTTTTTTTTCCTGTCTTATTTAGAATTTTAATATTGATAGTCTTCAGAGCTATGTAATAAACATCATCTCAATTTAACTACAGATTCTGTCGAATAATTATGTAGCATTAAGAGGAAAACATTAACTGTAATACAGATTAACATACAATATGTAAGTAAGAAATAATTTTAAGACTAGACTATTTAGTAATTTATTACATTCAGAAAAATTTTCTGACTCATATAAGGCATTTAAATTTAATGTTAGTCTAAATATTAAGTAGTCTCTTGCATTCGTTTGATGTTTTATAATCCTGCTACATTAATATGATAGATATAAAAAACATGCAATAATTATAGAATGAGAGATAACATTCCCACTGGCAAACTAAAAGTTGTTAAAGTAGTGGGCGAAACAAAACTTTACTTGTTAAAGTAATGGGTGAAACAAAAAAATTTGATGCGGTGATGAGAATCAACGAGAGACACAAAGACAGTGCAGAAAAATCAAAGTAAAAATTTTAGCTACTTGAATTTTAAAACCAATTTTTCTTCAAAGAAATGATTTGCTTTTAAAAGCACCACACCATTCTCAAATAATTTTGTTTTGAAAATAAATACTAACAAAAGAAAATGAAAATATTTCATATTCGTATAAGCTTTGTAAAACATTATATTGCCGCTTGTAATTTTGTTTTTAGACTGATTTTTATAGTATGAGATACCAATTTCATAGAATAGGTTTTGAAAAACGGGTGTTTAGCAAGGAAGCTAAACTGCGCGAAGACCGGTCCCCTAGCAGTGACGTAGTAACTCAGCGCGCAGGCCTTATCTATCTCGATGGTGACGACTGTACTCATGGAATTAAAATGAGTAGCTGGGAGATAGTCATTTGCAAACGAATGAGTATCAAGAAACATTGGAAAGAAAGGAAGATGCACTTACGAGAATCGGTGGGTCCGCACACCAGCTGCTTTGTCTTCCGAGTGCAAAATTTCTTGACGTCATCGAAGTAGAGCGACGAGGGACAATTTTGTGAGAAAGGGTAGAAGCCGGAACAAATGTAGAACTTCTTGCAAGTCTCCGGATCTGCAAATAAGCCATCTTGCAGAGGACATTTGAAATCTGTTTCCTGTCTCTTCACTCGGTATAATTTATCAGATGGCAGACCGACGGCTGTAAAATATAATAACATCCGATAATAACAATTAAAATAAATAATTGGAAATAAAATTTTGGTTAATTTTGAAAATTAAATTAAGTAACCGCCTTTGTCCTCGTAAAAGTGTTGCCATAAAAAACACATAAATCTATGAAAAAGGTCAAATTAATCCCTAAATTAAACAATTTTTAAAGCTAAATTCTTTACGGATCAACTAGAATTCTATCATAAGTATACACAAAGAGAATAATCGAAGGAATTTAAAAAGCTCTTTTCAAAATTTCATGTAACACCTTGTTCAAATTTTTGAATTATTTTGATTATTCATTTTTTATACTTTGGTGTATTCAGTTTTTAATTTATGAATCCTTTCAATTATTCTGTTTTTATACTTTTGAACCATTTCTTAATTTTTTATTATTTGGATTATCCTCTTATACAACGATGTTTAAATTCCATGGCATGCTGACTGATCTGGGAAGGACAGTAAAACCAATTTTGTTATTTTGCATATAATGTACAAAACAACGATAATATATACAAGAGTATTAAAAATTGAATAATTAATTAAAGTTAAAAATTATAAAAAAAACTCAAAAGGAAGAGATTTTAACGTTAGTCCAAAAGCGTTTTTTTATTAAGTTTAATATGGTTAATCAGTAGAGACTATCAAAAGAGGTGGCCCACGTGAAGCAGTGGAACAGTCTGGAGGATATTAGATTCAGATTCACATAGGAACGGTACATATCTTCTGTATATTTGAAAAGTGAAAAAAATATATATATATATATATATTTATATATATATAACACCATGCTATAAAAATTACACATAACCTGAATGTAATGCATTTTTAATGCATCCATCCGGTTCAAAAGATTAAAAAAATAATAATTTTAAGAACTGGATCTATTGCTTTTAAATAGCTCAGTTATTCCTCATAATAGACAAATTCAATTTGAAAGTTAAATATTTTACATTTTTCCGAATAGCTACAGACTCGAATGAAAAGTGAAACAACGCATTTACAATGGACGCTATTTAATGTGAATCAACGAAAAATCGTGATCGAGACCAAGAGCACTTTTGGTCTAATATATTAGTGAATACACGGGTCCAATAATTAACAAAAATAAGGATAAAAATTTTTAATTGAAATAAATTAATTGAAAGAAAAATTAAATATTTTACTCTTTGTCGAATGGCAACATAATAGCGGGTAGAAGTTTTTTTTTTTTTTTTTTTTTTTTTTTTTTTTTTTTTAATCTTGGGCAGTGGGAATTAATTGTTGAATTTATTGATTAAATTTGAAAGGCGCTTTGCAGATTGAAAACACATTGCTTTTAAATCGCCGAGCTTGCTCATGAAAATTTCATTATGTTTGCATTAAACATAAAATATTTTAGACAAAAATTGAAATTCAAGCTTTCGGTTTCGGCATGCAGGTAGGATTATCTGTGTTTAAATTTAGGTAGCTGTAGGTACTACCTGTTTTTTTTTTTTTTTTTTTTTTTCGACGGAAAGAATAATCACATACATGATAACCCACATACATGAATATTCTTCATTATTTAAGAATAAAAATTAAATTCGCTAATTTAGAATAGAAGTTATTAACGACTAAGAGTGTTTAATTAACTCTGCTTTGTTCAAACCTTAGATGTTACTTCTATCTGTCGACGAGGTTTGTCTTTGTGAAAATCTGATTGCGGACACAAATCACAATGCAAAATGCAAAAGTTAACTTTTACATTTCTCACCGTCAGTGAAGTTAACTTAAAATGCAGTTGAACTTCCCTATAACGAACTTTAAGGAAGGGAAAATTTGGTTCGCTATACCCGATCTGTTACCCATTAGAGTTGCATACATTCGATTAGCACTATATTACAAAAATCGCGGCTCTGGGGATATAGTAACAAAAATTTGATTCCTACTAATAGAAGCGACAGCCTATGCTATCCGGAACAATGATGACTTCGGCAATCCAAATAGGTAGATGACGGTCAGTAACACAAAGTTAATAAACGCCTCAGAAACAAAACAGAATCCGTGAGATCTGGAGGATGCCCTTGCTTCCGATTTAACATTGGGGGTTTGGAAAAGATAGTTCCGTTCAAAAGTCTGTACTTCGGAATTGAAGTCTCCGTTGTGTAGCAAGCTAAGTTTGTATTATCTTCCTCTTTTGGGGATTTCTGTTGACAACATCTAATCTTTTCACCTAATACGGGAGCAGTTGAAAGATTGTCTGCCATAGTTGCATTAAGTTGCATGAGAGCTTAATAAAAATCTGATTGATATCTGATCTGATAAGAAAAAAAAAAAAAAAGGATTATCTCACAAAACAGTATAAAAAAATTGATTGATGAATCGCACAGAAAACGTGATTAGAATCGTCACATCTCCCGAAAGCTGTTAATGGTTAAATTTAAGTTTCGAAAAAAGTGTTAAAAGTTAAATTAGTTATATTATACCCTGCATTTTTTTGGTTGTTTTCAGTTTCACCATACGTTAATAATTTTACACGAAAAATTAGTTAGCATAAAAGTCATGGCTTTGACCACTCTCTTTAAAATACACATTTATAACTACGAATAAGCCTCGAACAGAGTGCTATCTGACAGTTCAATCAAAGAACTCGTATGGAGTCAAAGAACTAATTCAAGTTCGTTGTGTCAATGGATCAAAGGTTCCTTGATTCAGTGGAATCACCTAAGATATGTTGCTACACCAGCCTTACATAACCTTTTGTTTAGAAGAGAAAAAAAAAGGTGAGAATAAAAATAAAAGAGTCGTAATCGTAAAGGGTGTTTTTCGTCATTCTAATGGATGAATTTAACGGCTGGTATTTTTTCAGTTGAAAGTTGCAGAAATGGGAACGTTTTTATTAAAATACAAAAAAAATTTGCTATATTATTTGTAAGATAATATTAAGGCTATAGGAAATTCAAGGGGACCAAAACGTTTATTCGTTATATCCGGGATGTCGTTACAAACCGGGTTCTCTATAGCCGGGCTTGATTGTATGGAGAACACTGAGAAGCCATTTCAGATTCACATTTAAATGAAGAAACGAGAAAGGTATAAAAGAAAATTACACATTCTCCTCAGAATAAATACGGGGGGAGCGGAAACGTGCCCTTAGAGTGATTCTGTCTTTAATTTTCTTTTCCTAGGTCCAAAAAATAAATAAAACTTATTTCCTTTCCTCCGATTCTTTTTTAGCTTTTATTCGACAAGAATATATTATTGAAGATGATTTAAAATTTTTATTCTCTACAAAACCTTCATGAAATAAATATTTCACCTTGAAAGCCAGTCTCTCTATTTCTCTCCGTCTATCACGTATATCCAGTTATTTACCAGAGGTCATACTAACACTAAATCAGTAGCTTTAAACATAGCGCCGCAATGCCTTAAACCAGTTCTTGCATCATGATTATCATTCGTTAACGGTATTCTTCTTCTTTCTGAGCGAAAGATCGTTTGAAACTGGTTAAGGAAATTTGTAAATAGGTCACGGAAAATGTAAATATAGTTCTTCCCAACGTTCACGCAATGGTGCACGTGGATTTCATTGCTAAAACACTAAAACACTACAGCAGTATGTCTTTGACGCACTAGCTGCTTGCGCGGCCAACCGCCGTATGAAACCGAAACATTCATACAACGATTTAACGATTCCAGTTAATATTATTTTCTTGGGTCCAGTTAGAGGTATTTTATAAAAATATTGAATGAGTTTAAATAAACAGAAAGTGTTTTTTTTTATTATATTAACTTAATCGTTTCAATTCAACGACTTTTGTTTAGATTTTTGTTTTGTTTTTGTTCAGAATTCATACACTAAACTGCAATGTATACTGCCACTCACTGTATAATTTCTTTTGTGACAACTACTGTTAATTATGCTCCGAAAGGGCCTAGAATAAAGAAAAGTATTTTCAAGCATTTTACTTTAGCCTACAAAAGACTCTTTAACAGTTAAATACGGGATATGAAACAGAGATCAGATTATTTCCTTAAGATCAGGTGTTTTTGACGGGGTCGGCTTCCATCCCCTGGAGGTCAATGAAATTTTAAAGGGAGTCAATGATGATCAAAGAATAGACAGCCGAATATGCACCAGCAATTGATCGGCTTAATCAAGAATCCATTGATTTAAAAACGAAAAGAAAAGGAAAAGAAAGAAAAAAGACAAAAAAATATTAATAAAATTGATAATTATTCTTTGATAAAAAGCTATATCATGTTGTAAGAAGAATACATATAAAATAAATATAAGAGAAAATGAAAAATGCCCTAAAATTATTAAATATATTTTTAAATCAATAATATATAAATTTTATGCAATAAATGCAAAAAAAAAGTAAAAATTGCTTTCTTATTTTGCAGCAACAGAAAAAAATCTCAATTAATCCAAAAAAAAAAAAATAAAAAAAAAAATAAATAAATAAATAAATAAAATAAAAGAAAAAAGAAAAAAAGAAAAAAAAAATAAGGACATAAAACAGCAACGGGAAATAAGAAACAGGTTGTATATTTTTTAACGAGGTGATTTGAGAATTAAATTAAGCAATTGTATGCCATCCATTTAAAAAAATGCATCAATACTTCAAGGGCCGCCGTCACATTCATTAGAATCGAACGTTCGCGCTCGGTCCGAGGTTCGAATTCCGCGAACGGGCTGGCTGCATGGGAGTTTTCGTGGTTTTCCCCATGTGTAACATGTATACGAGCCAGTTTCCCTTAGAAAGTCCTCCACGAAAGCATCCCTTCCCTTAGGCAGATAGCCCTAGTGTACTTTGCCAACTATTTAAAAAAAATGCATCAAAACTTCAAGCACCGCCATCACATTCATTAGAATCGAACGTTCGCACTATTGGAGTTTGCGAATTTTTATTCTGAAAACTGCAAATATATATGTGCAAATTTTTTTTTTTTCTAAAAAAGAAAAAAAAAAAAAAAAAAAAAAAAAAAAAAAAAAAAAAAAAAAAAAAAAAAAAAAAAAAAAAA